TCTCTCTCAAGGAAACGCGAGAATTTCAGACAACGTGGCACTCGAGAGCTACTCCTTTCTTTCTTTTCCCTTTCAAGACCGAACGCCAAGTGCACATGAACACGGACGGCACTGTGGATGTATGCGCGGAAAGCGCGAGACAGACTTTCTTATTTTCCACATGTATGCTGCACTGCTGCTTCGCAGACATGTACCTACAAAACGGAGTAATCCAGACTTTTCTTTTCCCTCCGTCACATACTTATTTTTTCGAAGCTCCTCGTCGCTACTTCCATTGGTCCAATTTCGCCAGCTAATTTTTTCCCTTTTTTGCACGCCCCTCAAGTAGTTTGCCAAAAGTCCCTGATACAGAAGTCTATCATTGGTCCATCCCGGTTTATCGCGTCGTTTGATCTCGAACAAGAGAAGACGTCTTGGCCGCTTCTTTCTTTCGCCTCTCCGGTGCGGCAAATTTATAACTTACTTTGCATTAAAATGTTGATTGCCACCCGTCTGCGAATATATACAAACGCGCCTTTGAGCCTGCGTGTGCCATTTTATGACGTCGTACGTGGAATTTCATTACTATATTATACGAGCTCACACATTCACACACGCACGCACGCTTGATGGAGCTCGGTGTAATGATAAAAATTTAATAAAAATTTGCCTCTCCAACTCTCGTGCGTTTGCTCAGCGTGTGCATGCATAAATTAAAGGCAAGCAAGGTAATGTTTACCCAAATCAATTATTGTTTAATGATTGCCAAGGACCTGGAAGTAAAATATTTTAAAAATTCCTTTTACGCCAACGTACATGTTAAAGAATACAGCGCTGATACATTTTTGCTTCGTTTTTTGGGTTTTCACATCAAAGACGATGTGCTTTGAATTTTTTTTATTTCCCATCAATGTATTACTCTTGAAGAGAAAAAATTCTCAAGTTTTACAGAAGACGCACGCACCCTTATCGATCCAGAGAGGATTTACATAAACAATAAAAAATGAAAAGCACGTGGCCAACATTTCCGTTTTCTTCACGAGTTGATTTCTTGTTGCAAGAATTATTGTGCATTTTCTACTTTTTCTCAAAGCCGCAGACGCATATGTTATAAATTGGGTTCCAGTTTTCCCTGCATGAAATTTTTCTTTGATTGGTTCACATCGTTCGCAATCATAATTTGTGAACTTTTTCTTCAACTTTTCTAAAGCTGTATTTTTACCAACGTGTACAATGCTGTTACACTGGCTTGCGCTCGTGACAAACGTCTGATTTTTTCCCCTCTCTTTCAGTCGCACAGATTACCTTTGCTGCTGCGAAGCTTTTACTTTGGCCTTATCTTGATTTAACGAGCGAATTCACCGGAGCTCGATTCTCTTCTGTTTTTCTTTCGTGACCGAATAATTGCGCGGTATCGAGCTGGCGGAGATTCATTGCGATTGCAGCTGCAACCGGTGCAGCTTCTACTAAACGAAATTACGCGATCGCCGAAAAAGGGATTCGGCGAATGAATGAGCCTTAGTTAAACCCCTTTGCAATCGCGTACGCGACCTACAATATAAGTGTGGATTGTAATAGCTGAAATCGGTCGTGCGTATTTTTGAAGTTAAAAAAAACCTGTTTTATATTTAGAAATGTTCATTTCGTTTTACGCCCTAATATTGAAAAAGAAAACATGAAATTATCAATGAAGTCATATTCTTTATAATCTAAAGGCTAATGTATCTATTTTTTTTGTGATCACAGAAAAGATAGAAATAGTGAAAAAAATTTACCTAAGTATAGAAAGTCAGGCTGATGTAAAAAAAATTTCCACAGCTGTGCGAATGTTTTAAAATGTAGTTTTGTGATAAAATTCATATATCTATATGGATACTTACCTCGGATGTTTCAACACGCATCCAGCTTTGAACTCCAACCTGCGATATGCACGTTAATTTATAGAAAATATACAGATCTACCTAGCTGTGTTGGATAGACTGAAATTTTTAACTGGATTGGAGTTTTGAATTTTTTTCATTTTTCCGCTACTTCGTAACGTAGAACAAAGTTATTATATTAATTAAATCAGAGCAGATACAAAAGTTCTTTTCATTTATTTCAACGAAAAAAACTTTAGCCGAGCTATTTTATTGTAAAGATGAGGAAATGGTTGTTATTTGTGAAGAACCTACAAACAAAAGGTAAAAGATGCTCCTCGAATTGGAAGTAATTATTATCATCGGCTTTACGTTTCAACAAATAATGTGAGCGGTATCGAAATATCGGCTTAATAATAAAGCCAAAAGTTGATTGTAGTAAATCCATACAAACTCTTTATACATTCTAAATTCAACGATATTTTCTACATACGCTCTATATAGGTACTCTTATTCAATCTACAGCAAACACGTACTCTCGAGCTGTTTGTACGCATAAACATGGACGGCTTCAACTGCTCTCTTGGATTGCCCTGCGCTGCAGCCGATGTAATCAGTAGTCTACTGTATCCGAGAGAGTCAGAGAAAGAGAGAGAGAGAGAGAGAGAGAGAGCAAGCCCGTATGCTCGCACAATCTAAAATGAAAGCCGGGAGTAACGAAAAAAAATTAAGAAAAAAAGAACGTCAAAATACGGTTTACGAGCTTGCAAGCTGTAGCTTGCACAGGAGTAAAGTACAAAGAGACTCGTTTACGAGCTTATGGCGAAATATTTCTTATACGCAGTGCAGTGCACGAAGGTATACGATTCAGTCAGAGCACGTGTCTAACACACACGTACACACTTGCACACATACACGTGCGCACACGTAAAGTCTATTCAAGTTCAATTTTTTTTTCTCTACCCTCTGTTAATAATAAAAAAAAAACTTTACGTTGTGTTTCATAACTCGAAATACGCTGTTGCAAAGTATATTTTCATTCCGGTGGCGGAGGAAAATGATTGGCCAGGGAATTTCGAGCAAACGAGGAGATATTTATTTCGTCAATGGTCAAACTCTGGCTGGAAAAGGCAAACTTACGGACGTTTCGGTAATTTCGCAGCTCATGCGTAAAAATCGGGCGTACCGTACAGATATAGACGAGTCCGACGTGAGAAAGAATACGCGCTCAAGCGGAAATATTCCTAATCGGAATTTCTCACGTCCGCATAAAATTCGTCGTCACGTATATGCTGCATTATTTGAATATTAGCAACACGAAAGTAACCATTTTATAACGAAATTTATTCAATTTTATGCGAATATTGAATTTCAAATATTTTTTGGGGCAATACAGATTGTAATTCACCAAGTATAACTTCTTGAATTCCTGCGATTAAAATTCGTGAAAAAGAATACGAAAGAGGAGCTTTTTCAAGGGAGAAAATATCACTTTTAATGGTTGTTTGAAAGATTTTTATCCAGAATTATCAGAAGAAGCTTCGCACGACTTCAAATGCACATGGTACCGAACTTGTCCTCAGCTTGGCTAGGCAAACAATATGAAGTCGAGACACGCGCCAGACAGCGCAGAAAGCTGAATCTATTCTGGCATTTTGTTTTCTTTCTTCGTTGCCCTTTCACTTTTTTATTCATTTTCGACGTCGTGCGAGAGCATTACGTACATACAAATACACAACGGCTATGGAACACGTTTTTCGCGCGCGATCGCACGGAATCCGATGCGAAAACTGCGCGCGCTATTTTTCCTTGTGCACTCGAGAGCACATCTTCTCAGGAAATTGAAGCGTCATGTAAAATTCAACACTGCATCTACTATTTGAGGGAGGTGTGTGAACGTATATGTGTGTATATATGTGCAGCAATGGGCATTGCCAAGTTTTCATATAACTATGCGTTTTCTTGTTTTCCAATACCCCCTGCATCTTCTGCATTTGCGATTATTGTGCCTTTTACTGAGTGATTTTGAAATTGAAACTCGTAATAAACAGACACTCACAAGATTACATGTTTAATTAACGCTTAATTCACAGATCAGCGGATAAAATGTTTGATTTCGTGAAAATTTGTTGTTCGGATTGCATTAACACATTAATACCAAGCATTTATATCAATTTCGAGTATCGGTAACAAATACACTAATGAAACACAAACATCCCCTAAAACATATACGTTACTGCAGAAATGGATATATAAACTCCATTGTTTATTTACGTGCCCTGGAACGATATTTTCTTTTCGTTCCATCTTTTCTGAAATTTAGGGAAAGTTGGCGTTACCAAGCGACATACCCTCCGTTAGGGTTGACAAGGAAAAATATATCATCGAGTCTTACAGTACCAACTTCAAATGTTGTTCTTTAAGTTTCAACACTTTATAAACTTGACTTAGAAATTGGTGCTACGTTAAGAGAAAATTTTTGAACTTAAAAATTGAATTTTACAATAAACAGCTGGCATATTTGAACGATAAAAATTTGGTTAAAACTTTGAGACAAAAAATATCATAGCGCGATCACTCAGCGAATTTCGAGCACGAACATTAAGTATTAAATTGAGCTAAATTAATCCAGGAAATTCTGATTACATTGGCAAAGTAAATAAAAAATTGAATCAAAAAGTCGGAGCAAGCCAAGCGCGTTTGTAAAAAATTTTCCTTTATAAGCTTCATCTCGCGCTTTCATTTTCATTTATTTTCATTCTTATACTTGTAAAAAGCGCGTGCAGCTGCACACAGGCGTCGCGTACTTCTCTCTGTACTTTGCGCCTTTGCCCTCTCCAGCAGCTAGCTGACTTTGTTCCGAAATTACGGAAATGAAGTGGTAGACCAGAATGCAATTTTCTTTCGTATATACATGCATAACTTCTGCGCCGCGTAGTCTTAGAAAGCGCCTAGTAGAATGTCACCTACAGCTCGCTCCTTTTTCCTTTTGTATTCTCCTTTTCGCTGAACATGCGCAGAAAAGAGATGCAGCAAATGAAATTTCTTTTAATGACTTTTTCAAGACGGTTGACTGTAATCCTTCAGCAAATCTTTCAAAATCCTTTCACATCCTTTTTTTAGATAATTTTAATATTTTTTAATAACCGTATGTTGTTGCAGGATGGTGCGGATGATCGGCGATGAGTTCTTGACCGAGGAACGAGATCGAAAGTATTACGCCGACCATTACACCTGCTGTCCACCGCCTCTTTTCATCATTCTCATTACTCTCGTCGAGGTAAGTGCAACTGTGCCAAGTAGACTTTCTTATCTTTCTTTTTTTTTAAATTAATCCTTGATATCTGCGATTGACCCAAATTCATTTATTCACATAATATATCAAGTCCAGTCGACGATATTAAAATTTTCAGGCCCTACCGAATATCCCCAAAACTTTGTCATTAGCTAGCCTTTTCCTCTTTCATTAATTAAATTCCACGTGCAATATAACTCGCCAAAAACTGTGGCATTTAATTTGCGCGTGCGTGTCGAGATTATTTCACGGGTAATAGTCACCGTTAAAGTCAGCCGAAAGATCATCGCCTGTCCCATTGGTTTGTTTACGCGCTATTCTACGAGCTGTATAACTGTCCGTTAGTATAACAGCATTTAGCCGGAAATTTAATTGCAAAGAGTGCAAAGTTGGCGCAGGCGCGCGCGCGAATGGACGACGATGCAAGCGCGGGACAAAGCTCGAAGGTAAACAATGAAAGATGTTTACTCTGTAATTTACGAAGCGTATTAGCCCGATATATATGTAATGACACTGCTCGCGCGTAAAGCCCTGCATAGACGTATATACATGTATAGATGCACGCGCCGCATCTTCAGTTTGCTACTCAACTCTTGTCATTTGCTACCGCAGACTGGCGCACAAGATGAGAAGGTACAAACGTATACATAGAGAGATGTCTCGCAATGGTACAATGAGGCTTTCAATTACACGGAGCCAACTGGGTTGCAAGATTATACCATCGTCTTTTCAAAAGACTTTTTTCCATAAACTCTGATGCGGACTGATAGACCACTCTTCTTTTGCCCTATGCACTGAAATATATTACTCTTTGGCTCCCATTCTCTCTAGCGAGTACTTGTTTCGTAGCAAACTTTTAAGTACTTACCATCGAGTTTTTCAAAAAAGCTCGAGTGATTAACGCACAGCTTCTCTCTTTTCCTCTTTCTTGCTCCAATCTAACTCGTGCGTCATTTTAATTTAATTCTACAAAAAGAAAATTATTTTCCTTGAGTACGAATGGTAGAAGTATCTTACTTTCGGGACCAAGAATGTATTTTTTTCTTTATTTAATTCAAATTTCCGTTTTAACAAAATGTCTAGTCTCACTTGTCAGGAAGAAAATTTTTTAAATAAATTGAGTGTAAAATTTCATTTTACTCATTTTCGAAGGCTCTGCAATTCTTTAAAATTTCATGCAAAAATGTTGAAATTCGTGAAATTTTTAGGAAAGATGAATATAATTTTTTATAAATATAGAAAAATTAGATTCATATTACAGGTTAACTCTTTACGCGACTTTCAATCAAAATTATTAAGCTCAATTGTTGTCAATTACCGAGTACCGATGTAACTGCTATCGTGAAACTTTTGATTAACAGCTGATTAATGAACTTAATTATAATGCCCATTAATATTCAAATAATGCAAAAACTAATTAAATTACATTTTTTTTACATTTTTTCATTTAAATCAAATTGACAGATGAGCTTATTATGGAATGAGCCTTACAACTACATGAAAATAGAAAATAAAAAATTACAATAATAACCCGTTCTTTCCACGGCTTATACCGCGAATCCCTTTTAATATAAAAATAATTTGCTTCTCTCTCTCTCTCTTTGTAAAACGTCTCGCTACTTTTTTTATTTCATTCTCCAAGCTTAAACTCGACAATATCGCGAAGCACATAACCGAGGCCGACTAAATGATAATACTCGCGTGGCGCAGCGCGTATTTTCGAGGGACTTTTAAACGCTTAGCGCTATTTACATAAAGGTTTGTCGTCGGCTTGCGAATTCGCGCTCTCTCCCGCGTATACACGTGGGAATATAGCAACAGCAACGTGGAAGGTAAAAAAAAGAGGAGGAATAACACGTACAAACGAGCAAGCGAAAGAGAGAGATGGTATCGCAGCGCCAGCGCTAGCAGCAGGACTGCGAAAATATTATCGCTGACTAGAAAATGTAGCAGGATTTCGTCGCCCTGCTGCACATTGCGCAAAAAAAGAGAAATACGTATGTGTGTGGGTGCGTATATACGCCGAAGGGCAGAAAAGTTTATGTCACCCACGTCGAATATATAGGTGACGATTAATTCTACTATTTACCATCGATAAAAAAATTTACGATCTTGCAAGCGCATAAAAGCATGTTTAAGGTTTATACGTCACGAAAAAATCTAAATTATGATGCATTTCCGCGATAGACTCGCTTTTTTCTGCGACCTATGTGTACGTCGTATTTTATCTGTTACAGCGATACATCGGTATAGTGGTACAACGAGAGATTTCGCACGGAAAATACAGTCTTTTGTTATAGCAACTTTGCGGAAAAGAGACTGCGCTGTTTCAATGAACAGATTAAGCCAAAACTTAGCCTAGATTTTTGTACGAAACAATCAAGTCAAAAGTTACATATATTTCTTGCATAAACCAGTGCTCTTTTTGAAGATAGCTTTTATATCTCTTTTTTCTCTGCTTACAATATCCTTCAAGGATTTTTCGTTGTATTTTCTACATATAATATAATTTTCGAGGGGGTATAAATACACAGTCCTCGTTGCAGGCCTTGGGACACAAAAGGTAAATTACATAGACTCGCTTTCGCGACAATCCAGTTAAAACTTTCTTGCGAAACAAGGCTTTACTTTCAGAGATAAACTAGCTACATACGTATATTTGGCGATTCGTGCGGGACTTTAAGCTTCCGTATGTATTCGGGCTGCTTTTTCGCTGCTGCGTACATTGCAAACCCGACGAATATTTTCCATCGCCTAGTGATTACGAGAGGTTCATGTCCCTCAGAAATTTATAGAAAAATTAATTAACGTCAATTTTCGCGCATGCATAATGCTTTGCGAGCATTAAAGCAAGTTTTTTACACTGAAATTAGACAAGCCGCATGCGAGCTTGCATGTACAGCTGATTCATAGATAAAGCGTGTAAACTTTTTTAATCCTTAGAATTGCGAATTTTCCTCATTTTGTATACACTACTTATTAAATACGTTGCATAATGTGAATGCATATTTGGTATAAACTACACCTTTTTGTAAACTTATTATCAAAGTAGAATTGTTTCTTAGAAAATGATAATCTATTGCAAACTGGGGTAGTTTTTCTTAACACTAATAGTAATGTACACGTAGGACTGATTTGACAAAAAAATGGGCCAAATGCTAAGTATTTGACGAAGAAAAACACCAATTTTATACCCTAAACCTATGACCTGTTTAGAATCAACAGAAAAGGGAGAATTAATCTTGGAAAAATTGAAGTAAATCGGATTGTAACTGTGCTAGTCGTTGCTGTTTCTCATATTTTCTTCTTGGCTGAATATCTTTTTACTTTGCGCTCACCCCTATTTGTACAAATCGATAATCCTTTCCTCCGCATCCCTTCTTGATAGTTTCTCTCTCTCTCTCTCCATCTACTTTCTTCAAAGCCTCCGCTGATTTTTTTCTTTTCGTATTTTTACTCGAAGAGCATTGGCTTGAGTCGGCGGAATAACTCACTGCCAAGACGATACTGGCGCGTGAATTATCGCCCGGAGGTGCTGAGAAAACTTCTCTTTTTTTATCAAGACTTACCCGCTCGTAGACACTGGCGCGTATGTGAGCGTTGGTGTATGCATGTGTGTGCCTGGCTGCAGTACAAGGTGTATCTTCTTAATCGATGCTCATCGTGATATGAAGCGCGAAGGTAATAAAAGCTCTAAAAATTACCGTTGGCCATATCCCCATTTCCAGTGTGCAGAGCCGTGTTTTACGGCGATTTTCCACCTCTGGAGATAAGTCTAGTTTCTCTTTTCTTTTCCGTTGGTCAGATTCACCTAGACCGATAAACTCTCGCATTGGTAGAGTCTATACATGTATGTGTAAAAGTCTCTCGTTCCGAAAGGACGCTGCAGTTTCGGGTTAGCCAAAAGAGAGAGAGAGAGAGAGAGAGAGATAAGCACTGCTTGGCCTCCGGATATTACCAAATGTGGCCTTGCAAGCTTGCGCAGTATACGTATGTTTTCATGTATAACCACGCGCTTTGCTTTTTTCCCATTTTCTTTAGCTTCTGTCTTATCTCCATCTTTAGCCCCTTTTTTCTAAGCTTTTTCGGAACATTTAAACGGTACACTGTAACGACTATTGTTTCTCTTATACAGCTAGAGTCGGAGCTACGGCTACAGCTAGCTTCCTCCTATCTGTCCCTATTGTGTATTGCCTTTTGCAGGTTTTTTTTTCGTTTCATTTCGTTGGCCGGCCTCAAGAGCGAAGAGCGGTAGTTGTTTTTCTTTCTTGTTTCCCTCTCTCGTTATTATCTCTTGGGATTTGCCTCCACGCGATTATAATCATTTTGCAATCAGAGCGTAGAAATTTTGATAAAATGTCCCTACGAGTTTCAATTGTTCGCTGGCGCATTCCGCACAATAGTTCACTGATACCGCCTCGTTACGTATGTATATAATAGCGCAGTTAACGAGTCGCGGCTTGTCCCCCGCCGAGTGCATTATATTATATTATACTTATATATGTAAAAGCTTGCACGGAGTACAGGATCTTTACAAGTTGGCCAGACTGGCGGCGTCGCTGCTACTGCTTGTGTCTGGTTGACCTGCTTTAGTACTACTTGCTACCCTCCGCTGACTAAACTAACCTCGTTACGCACGAGAAACGTTATTAAGCGCGAGATGCGACGCCTAGTGGTGGAGGAAAAAGCAGCTGCTCGCAGGAGCTCGAGACTCCGAGGCTCGAGTTTGCTTATGTGCGTACGCGCTATGATATTGCGAGACGCCAGCCAGGCAGCTCGGGCGAGAACACACCTTATGTTGCCAAGGAGCCTGGCACTAGTCGTCGACGGATTACTCGCTGTAAGCTCGCACGTTCGCCGCTAGTTAAACAACTACTCGAGCTCGCTCGCGATGCCTGGCCAACTTTTTACATCTGATTAACCGGCTGTGTGCTTTAAGTAGTACGACTCGCAGTTTCGTTAGACGCGCGCCGAGTCCTATATAT